AAGAGCCAGCATGGCCATTTCCCCTTAGCGGTGACTTCTCCCTTTCCATCTCTCGCTGCCTCTCTTTCTGGTGAGTGCATGCGCTTCATAACAAAAAATCTAAATAAAAAGAAGACAACGATGACTGTGTAATGATATGAAAACGCTTTCAAAAGGTATTGTTAGATGAAATAAAACCAGTTACAATGTGTGAAAAAAGTTCCAAAATACAATGGAAACAGGAGTGGGAAATCTAGGAAGGCTTCCGGTTTCATCTGTAACGTTTAGAATGCTTTGTAATGTGATTAAGAATGCAATTGTAGAGTAGTGAACACATAATACTCTATGTTTTCATTTTTGTTTAAAAAATCATGAAAAAGGACCAGAAGATGGCCTAATGGTTACATTGCTGGACTCCTACATGGGCAACCAGCTGGGGGTGGGGGTGTGAGTGCTCAAAATCCTGAGAGGAGAATGGAGAAGGAGGAATTGTGATGTGACCATTCCCCTGGGGGAAGGGGGGGAACGGAAAGTGATTTCTTGCTTTCACTCTCTCTCTCTGTCTCTTCAGCAAGTGTACACATCCTATAGCATAAACCAAAATAATAATAATAATAAGGGACCAGCAGATGGTGTAATGGTTATGTCACTGGACTCCCACATAGTCGACCATGGTTCAAGTCCTGGACCTGGTGGCTTAAAACTCACGCTGGGTGCATGTGTGTGCATGTCCAAAATCCTGGGAGTAGAAGGGATTGAGGTGTGGCCCACTGGGGGATGATTTCTCGCTTTCTGTCTGTCTTTTTGCAAGCTTACACACCCTATAGCAAAAATCTCTAAAAAAAAAGGAAAGAAAGAGAGAAAGAAAGAAAGAAAGAAGAAAGAAAGAAAGAAAGAAAGAAAGAAAGAAAGAAAGAAAGAAAGAAAGAAAGAAGCAACATAGCCATTACGCCAACTGCTGGTCTGAAAGAAAAAGAAAAAATAGTTAAGTTGGGACCAGCAGGTGGTGTGGTGGCTAAGGCACTGGACTCCCACATGGCCAACCATGGTTCAAATCCCAGACCTGGCAGTTACTTTCTCACTTCCTCTCTCTCTGTCTTTCTCTGGTGAGTGCACGTTCCCTTTACCAAATTAAAAAATAATTAATGGTGATAAATGAAATTAAATAATTTTTTAAGTGCCTCTAGGTAGAGGGACTGAGATGATTTCATTTTGTGCTTTCGACTTCTCTCTCTTTTCTAGGTTTTCTCTAATGATCATGTTGTTTTTTTTTTTTCAAATAAAGGAGGAGGGGACAAGCAGTTAGCGTAATGGCTATGTCGCTGGACTCCCATGTAGTCGACCGCAGTTCACATCTCAGGCCTGGCGTGCGTGCCCAAGATCCCAAGAGGAGAATGGAGGAGAAGGGATTGCTGCGTGGCCATCCCCCCCCGGGGGGGGGGATTTCTCACTTTCTGTCTGTCTCTCTCTGTCTGGCGAGCGCACGGCCCTATAGCAAAAACCTCTCCAAAATAAATAAAATAAATAAATAAAGGAGGGGGACAATAAGATATATAAATCTTCAAGGCTCAACTCGGGTGACAGTTCTCCATGCAGCTTTCCTTCCTTGATTCCGGGGTCAGAGACCCGCCCACTGGAGTGCTCGGCATCTCAGGAGTCCCTCACCTCGTCCCTCACCTCTCCGCAGCAGGTGGATGGATGGAGGCGAAGCCTTCACCCCAACAGCCGCTGCTCCCACAGGAATCTGCCTTTCATTCGCTACAAGCCGCTGCCAGCATCAGGCAGAAACAAGTCGCTGGCCAGACCTGTTGTGAAGCAAAGAGCCTAAAAGGAGGTGACCAACATCCGCCCATTATTTTTTCTCCAGTAACTGGGGGCGCTGGCGGTCTTAGGGTTCCTGTGTGTCACAGGAAAAAGGGAGGAGCAGGTGTTCGACAGCTGGTGACGTTCGTGAGCTGTGAGTCGAGCAAGGCCAGTGGTCCACGTTCCCCTCTTCCCTCCACCCACCGTCCTGTTCTTTTTCTTTGTGGAGGGGGTGTGGGGGGGTGGGGAGGACCACTTCGCTTAGAGATATCCGCGATGATTCTCGGTGCCAACGTGCCCTGCCCCTCCATCCCCGCTAACTTGGTGACGAAGGGTGGGCTTCCAAGTCCGTGTCTAGGTTCGAATCCTGCTTTCCCACATACCAGCTCTAAGAGTCGCTGCGTTTATGATTTGCGATCTGTAAACCGGAGATAATGATGGTATTGTAACGGCATCTGGGAAGAAAGGCTGAAGTTCACTGGATGAATGGAGTAAGCCGTTCCTATTTTTAGCCCAAGAAACAAAACGCTGGCGGGGGAAGGTCCCGGCTGGCACCACAGAGCTTGGGGGAGGAGAAGGGATTTCCCCATTTATTTCCTGAAAACCCGCCGTGGGGAAAGCGCGCCT